ACAATTTTTGGAAAAAACGTGTTTTTCCATTTTTTTTGCCTGTCAATATTAAGTACCATATTAAACCACAACAATTATTCGCAGCAAAAATCATTTCAATTGCCAAGCTCCAATCAGAATAGTAAAAGGATACGTCTCAAGTTATTATATAAATGCAGAGGTGGGCAGTAGTGCGCTACATGTAGCAGCCGCTACATTTTCAGTGGCGGTAGCGTCGCTACATTTAAGCAATTGTAGCGGTAGCGCCCGCTACATTTCTAAGTAGCGATACGAGGTTTTGCCGGTGCAGCGCTACCGCTACATTTATAGATAAAGATTTTAGATTTTACTTAATAGTATTAAATATTATTTAAAAACCAGCATAATACATACCAGTAATACAAATTACAGAATAAAACTGTACGAAAGATTTCGGTGTAATGTTGTCAACCTCAGCCTATTACTAGTGTCAACATGTTAGTTGTTAGTCCAGAGGTGGGCAGTAGCATGCTACATGTAGCGGCGCTACATTTAAGCAATTGTAGTGGTAGCCCCGCTACATTTAGAGCATGTAGCCGTAGCGGCCGCTACATTTCAAAGTAGCGCTGTCCAGCTCTGTATAATTGCATGATGGTAAGACAAAGTTTACACCACATCAATAATTGATTCGTCTCGTTAAATGGCTATAAATTCCAGGAAATTTTAAGCTACCTATTTTAACCGGGATGTCTCGTCTTGTCTTGGTATCATCCCGGAATTGCTATGGAGGGCCACTGTGCAGAGTGGATGAATATTGCAAGATCGTTGGCGATGCTTCAGAAGCAAAATTTATGCCTTCAGATCTTGCCAACACATTTAGATTGAAATTCTTGCATTTAATATATTTGTCAGTCTTCGGCAACTATTTAAAAAAAAGTAAGGTTTCCGATATGTTGATGGATCAGGATGCAGTGAAGCTTGCCCGGAAATCAGTTACGATGAGTTCCCGCCAAAAAAATGTAAACATCAAGCTTACGATTACGTAGTTGCGGTCACATTGCATTAATCACATGTTCAGTTGACACTTGCTGTACAATCGGACTGTTTTTAGGGTAAAATTAGTTATTTGGAGTAACACGTGCATGCAACCTTGTAAATAAGTTCGTGGCTTGTAAATAGTTTTTCATTACTCAGCGTAAATGGCTTTTAATTAAAAATTACCCGGCGACGCTTAGGGGCTTAAAAACCCATATATTGGTGATGCTGCATCCACCCTCTGCACCCTGGACGGAGGGCTGAAAATAGTCCCGGTTTTTATTGCGAACCAGGACAGAACCTGTTGTCTTGTCTCGTCTCATCTCGGATAAAAAAAAAAAACAAATGCAGGAGTCTATCAAGAACAACCCATAGATTTAGAGGCAAACCCAGCTTTGAGCCCAACCAATTAACTGTTAGAGTTGCAATTTAATTATACTAGTGGCATTGTTCATGTCTGGACTACTGGTGAAGAAGGTGATGTCATCTGCACAGTCAGCAGTTGACACACCTGGCAGGCTGGCAATGAAAGGAGATCTCTTATCATGACATTGAATAGAAGTTGATAGAAAATGGCCCCTTGAGAAACCGCAGACTGAATTGTTTTCATTTATGAAGTCTCACCCTCGAACAGCACCTAAAAGCATTGATAATTTAAATAGGCATGCATCCTTTGCAGCATTGTCCCATGCAAACCACATTGACTAAGTTTGTTCAACAGTCCTGTGAGCCAGACTTCATCAAAGGCTGGAGTGAACTCAGTGAAGTTGCAAAAGGCCATCAAGAGAATGGATTTGGTCATCAGAGCAGCTGAAATAATAGCAGACTCCAGTCTGGCGTCCTGGTCTTTTGCAGCAATATGGCGTCGGAAACCTCCCCGAGTTGAGCAGTAGGAGTTTGTTTGCTCCAGGAAGAAACCCAGACATTTATTTATTGACTCAATAAGTTTTCCCGTGCATGATGACAAGAATATGGGTCTGAAGGATGAAACAGAGGTTAGTGTTTTATTAGCTTTAGGTAAAGGCACTATTAGGGAAATATTCCAGGCTGCTGGGACTGCCCACAGAGTGAGGCTTCAAGGAAGCAATGGTTGAAGTCTGCTAGCAGCCTAGCTTGATATTCTGTCATCAAGTGGAATAGATATTCATTGTGAACCTGGTCTGAGCGGGACTGAGCCTGGTGAAGTTTTTTTCAAGGTGTTCAAGACCTTTGTTTAACTCGTAGAGCCTGATTGGCTCTAATGCTATCATTACTCACTACTCAGTATGACAAGCAAAAGATAAGGAGATGAGCTGGAGGATGTTCAATTTGTTCATAGTGAGTTGCAGGAGCCTCTACTTTGGAGTTTGGATAAGTGGCCAGAGAGGACAGAATTGTTGACAATAAAGGGTAGCAATTTGTGGCTAAATGGAGTTTGAAGGCTTTTATTTATTTTCCACAATAGTTTTTTTAGGGGAGTGGCAGAGTGCGAGTGTCTGAGCCTCTGAGGTAACAGTGTTGCAAAAGTTTATTCATGACCATGAGTGATGAGTCCAGTTTGGCTCTTTTCACCTCCCATTTGACTCTTGGCCTCTTGCTTCAGCTTGTTGGTAGGCAATGGGAACAGAGGGAGCTCAGGGAGATAGGCAAGAGAGGTGGGCTTTCTTAGCTGCTCTATTGGTAGTCATGGCTTTGGAACATTACAGTACAATACCAATAGGAGTGGCCGAGTGGGACTGCAGGACCAGGAGTGTGTGGGTAACTCTGGCTAACAGTAAATCTGCTTTGCACAACACAGCCACTGCTTCACAAGTTCACAGAGCCAGAGCACAACTGGCAAAAGTGCAACAGGCCCTACCACAACACTGCAACAGAGGCGCAGCCTCGCAGGTTAAGTTAGTTAGGTTACATTAGGAGTAGCCTGTTGCACTTGCAGACTGCTCACTGCAGTAGGGCCTGTTCTGCTCTGGCGAGTCTGGCCTATATGCACTCTGGCCTGTGAGGCTGTGTGTGACCCTGTGTCCTGTGACTGAACGGCTCTGTTGTGGTGGGCCTGTGGGGCGGGCGTGGAGGATTCGTGTCAAAAGCCGTGAAGATGCCCGGCTGCATTATGCTCAGGAAGGTATATAAATCGCACTGTGGACTAGGGCTATGCTGACCTCTAGCTATCCATAATCCACCCAACCCACATGCCTCCAATTTCCAAAGACAAAGTTCCTCAGTGGATGAAGTAGGTAGGCCTATCTCACTCGGAGTAAACATATAGAGCTCCACAGTCCACAGAAGTTGGCTATCAAATTAATTATTGTTGCTTTCAATGTTAAATTTTTGCTATTGTGAAAATCTATTTTGACTCAAAAGAGCTGCTTAGTGCTGACAACTGACGGTATTATGGTAAACTAGCACTCTAAGAAAATGTAGAGCGCACAAATAAATTGCTGGGATAAAAAAATGATCCAACATAAATTAGACTCAAGTCACTCAAGTTGGGTGGATAGCTAGTAAGCTAGAGGTCAGCATAGTGACTCAACAAACTCCAAAAATGCAAAATAATGAAATCTCACAGCCTCACAGATATCATCATTCATCAATGATGATACTTGTGAAGTTGTGATGATTCATCATCAATTCATCATGGACCTTCGTCACCTTCCTATGTCAGAACATTGAGAACAAGCAGAATTAAATGCTCTGTAGTAACTGGTACCTATTTGAAATTGGACCTACAAAAACAATTAAACAAGCATTGCTCAATTAAACATTGAGCAATTCATTGGCCGGCCCAGTGGCTGACGGAGTACGTACCAGGATGAGCATTGCAGACTTGCAGTAGAGACGTGCGGGTTCGATCTCATCTCTGTGCGACAGTATCGGCGACAGGCATATGGCCTAATAACGCTGAAACCGATATATTATTATTATTGTAATCTGGAATATTTTATAATTGGAATATTTTTTTATGGAATAACGCCAACTGCAGGTTCAATTAGTAAGTGACCTGTTCATATAGGGCAGGCTATCCTACAACTGAACAGTCTGCATAAAATTAAGGACATGATTAATTAATAACAATGCGCCCTTCAAAGAATATTCACAAATTTCCACGTCGCTTGCTTTGTTTTTTATTAAAATGTTAAACCAAAATTTTTGAGCAAGTGCTCCGATCATCACTCACTCAATTCTGAACAGTTGTACATGGGTCATGGAATATGAGCAGTTGAGCACATAGCGTTTTTATTGAAACAACTCTCAGAAGATTAAATTATACAAAGATAGGTCAATCTGGGATACGTTATATGATTTTTTTATAAAAAAATGCCCAACCTAACTTGAAAGTTTCGTCATTACGAGCTTCAATAACCAAGAACCGCAAGAATATCCCATAATACCTGACAGGAGCAACCAAGGCTATTACTACCTACGCTTAAAACTTCATGCAGATAGTCAGAAATGATGTTTACGAGCAGTAACAAATTGAGTTTGTCAGCTTTCGCCTGTCGAGTTCGGTAAAACGTCCAACAGTCGTCCACTGTGCGAATTCAGGACGAAATCTTGATATAACTTTTTTTTTAAGTTATTTCTTTTTACCTCATGAAAATTTGTACTTTCCTGTACATATAACGAAAAATCTTTGCAAACGTATCGAAGAAACTAAGAAATAAAAGTTACTTTTCAGGTTAGAATTCCTTTATATTTTGTTTTTTGATTACTTAACTCATTACGGCAGAATTAACGGGATGACATCTTATTTCCATATAACAACATTAATGCCAAAACTACACTTCTCGAACAAATGTTGAAAATCTAGTGCTTTCCTTCATTGCTTAGTCCTAATCCAAATCTTTAACTACTTCCAGCGTAAAATAATGTGCGATAATATTATGTAATAGGTACAAAGCGGAAAGCAGGCTTCAAGAGCATCATGTTTGGTAAATAAAATAAAAATTCTACATAATTTATGAAACACACAGCACTCTTCCTAATACATCACACATTTGCTAATACGAGGACTGAATAAAACAACGTTATTCCACTGGTAATCCACCGTGTACTTCAGTCGGTACATCACACGACGAACTGGTAAGGGATAGGAGTTAGGAAGGTGGGCGGCTTGCGTGTGATGTTGACGTAGTGGGCGGGCTTGGGCCCAGCGGGGCGACGCTTCAGGCAGGGCACGGGCTTGCCGGCCTTCTGGCAGGCGCGGCGGGTGGCATCGTTGTACTTGACACGAGCGATGTGGTCGTCACGGCACTTGCTGGGCGACACGTGCTCGATGCGCACGTTGATCCTGACGATTGAGAATAAACATGATAAATATAGCGTGAAAACATCAGGGAGTTTGGATTTATCATTACGTTGATCCTGACGACAGGAACAAACATGGTAAATATGGCGTGCAAACATCAGGCAAGCTTGGATTAATCATTACTTGATCCTGACGGCCGGGAACAAACACTGTAAATATAGCGTGCAAACATCAGGGAAATTTAACTATAATATTGCTCCAACCGACGGATCCTTGTTGTTCTTGTAGGCCAGCCCCTTTATCTCTGCTGCCTATAGCCTATAGGGGTACAAACACGGTAAATATAGTGACCGGGAACAAACACAGTAAATATAGCGTGCAAACATCAGGCAAGTTTGGGTTTATCATTAACTTTAATGTTGCTCCAATCGACGGATCGTTATTCTTCTTGTGGGCTAGCAACTTTATCTCTGCTGCCTATAGTTATGAACTTAGGAATTATATTAATATAGTATAGATATAAGAAATCGAGAATCAACTACGATTGGTTGTCTATATAAGCTTAAGTTGCTAAGGAGATACATTAGAAATATACCTCAAGAAGAAGACTTAAGAACATTGAGAAAGAAGTTCATCAAGACTCGCTACATCTGGTTCATTGTGGACGACTACTCGGCAATATTTTAAATCCCTGATGTCCACTAACATTCATTATTTGGCTTCATCGATACGACCATTTAGACAAGATATCCAACAAAACAGGACACTTTTTGATTGACGCATTAATTATGTAAAAATTAAACAAATAAAAGTTCGAAAAAAACAAAGTATGGTTATAACTCTAGTGGCCAGGGAGATTAAACAAACAACATTTTAACGAGTTATCTCCAAAATAAAAGCGTCGAGAGAAAAATTTAGTGGAATCACGAAACGTCACAACCGCTCTCACAATATACAGAGAAACCAACACATTAGGGCAATTGCTGCACCTTCACGACTGATAAGAATACGATATGTTAAGAAACGTTAATTAGAACAAAGAGGTGGGAAGTGTAAGGGCTAAGAAATAAAAAACTATACGATATGTTAAGGAACATCAATTAGAACAAAGAGGTGGGAAGAGTAAGGGCTAAGAAAAAAAACTATACGATATGTTAAGTAACATTAATTAGAACAAAGAGGTGGGAAGTGTAAGGGCTAAGAAATAAAAAAAAACTATGATATGTTAAGGAACATTAATTAGAACAAAGAGGTGGGAAGTGTAAGGGCTAAGAAAAAAAAAACTATACGATATGTTAAGTAACATTAATTAGAACAAAGAGGAGGGAAGTGTAAGGGCTAAGAAATAAACAACTATATGATATGTTGAGGAACATTAATTAGAACAAAGAGGTGGGAGGTTTAAGGGCTAAGAAATAAATACCACACAGACCTCTTAGCGAAGATGCGTCCTCTAACCCTCTTGTTGACGACGACACCGAGAGCGTGCGGTGTGACGTTGAAGATGCGGCCAGTCTTGCCGTGGTAAGACTTGTGTGGCATGCCTTTTTGGAAAGCACCGTTACCCTGAAAAATTGCATTGTTATTAATTCTGCATAGCATGTATTTTCTTAAATAGCATATGTAGCTACGTGACTGGATTCAAAATATTTTAAAGCAGTTAGCCTGGTTACAAGAATTTCGTCAGAGGTAGATGTGTAAAGAATTAACTACTTGATCCCCACAGGATAAAGAACAACTGTAAAATGCCGATTTCAAATCTGTGTATGAACTTATCCTCAAATTATGTCCAAATCTGTAAGAATTGTGAAAATGAGTGAATTCATTACTACATAATAAGACAAGTTTCAACATCAACATCAGTCAACGGAAAGATTATCCACCTCTGATTGAGTTAAGCATTATTCTTCTCAAAAAATTTGGTGCAAATTGATCTGTCTCAGAGAAATTGCCACTAAACAGCATTCAAACCTTACACTGAACTTTCATGTGAGTCGAGACTGGCCACAATAATGAAGACATGAATAAAACCTGCCTTAATGTCCACAAGTTGACCCATCTTGTAGCATCTGAGGTAGGTGGTGAGATGTTCAACTCCATTCTTCTTGAAGCCTCGGGAGAACATGTCCCGAGTACCTCGCCTGGTTCCCTTTGGGTTGGTCATTGTGCTGGGTCTAGATTACCTCTGCAATGAACAAAGATTCATTAATGAAAAGAAATATTACAACAGAACACTTGTTCAGAAGGGAATTAAACACTCGTTAATGCAGTAATTTAGAGATAATGAGTAGATCAGTTAAATCAAAATCAATGCTTACCTACTTGACCAACACAACACTCCATGCAAATTTATTTAATGCCATGATACACAAAGTTGAGTAATGTATGTTATGTTAATGATCATCATTCATTACATGGCCTTGCATTAATTAAGCTATGCTTAATGATTAAGAAATCAGGAGAGTAGTGCATCAAAGAGCACAATCGGGGGAAAAAGTTGGAAAAGTTTTTTCACAAAAATTAGAGTTCCTAGTTCCTACAGATGGCACATGACACATCTGAATGGAACCACAGAAATTTGCAATTATTTTTCATCAGCACAAAGAATTTATTAATTTTTACATCATGTTGTATTGAGGGACACCCAAGCTCAGTAATGAAAGAATTATGTTTACAAACTACCAGCCATTGAAGAGCAATGACTTGACTGAGTGCACATTTACATCTATCAAACACTTGAATCATGTTATGCTTTTCTATACAGAACACAGCCACTAAAATAAGCAGCACATTGGTAATTGTCAATAATGGTGATTTAAATTCCAAGTCAAAGAAAATGATTTCATTGATCAAGGGCCAGTTCATGTTCTACTGATAGCCAATAGCCACTAATTTAGGCTGTTAAACCACTATTTAGGTTAATCTAAAATGAAGATAAATTCAGTCAATTTGCATCATATATACACACCCACCTGACTAAGGACCTTAAAATAAAGAAAATAAACATTACACTGTAATCAAATATATATATTCCTAAATAATGTGGTCAAAACAAGTCACAGAAAATAAATTCATAGCTAGAAATAGTTGGGCAGAATGAAGAAGAGCTTCTTATGACCACTAGAAGAGATGTTAGAGCCTAATACCGGGGTATATGTTACTGATGTAGCCATCCCAGGCCACTGGAGTGCCACCGCAGACAATGGCTACCATCAACTAGGGTGACTTTGGTCACACCTACAACAGAAACAAATGGCAGCAAAACAAAATAATAAACATTGGCCAAAGTCACCCCAGTCACTATGGCCAACATTTATTATTTTGTTTGCTGCCATTTGTTTCTGTTGTAGGTGTGGCCGACATCACCCCAGTTTAACGTACACCTAATGTTTAATGTCTTGGTGACATTAATATGTTGCATAGACATAATAGTGCATTGTGCAATAGATTATGGCAAGGCATAGGATTCTTCTCAAATTAGTTCTTTCTCATCAAAGAAAACATGGCAAAATTGGTGAGTCCAGATTATTTGATAAAAAGTTAACATATTTCACATCAATGTAAACATTTTACTTATTTTAATTATATTGAGTATAGAAATAGTTTCACATTTCTCATGTCTGTTTTGGGGTTTATGTTAAGCAGATAGGAACAGCAACTCTGACTTCTTGATTCTCAATCATCTTTCCCCTTTTGATTCATGCACACTAACTTGAACTAAAATCTTTTTACAAGTTCATGAGTTTGAAGTTCTTTTTACTAGTCTTGAAGAGTTCAATCAAGCCTTTTCTCTCCAAATAATATTCTAAGTTATTCTCAATATGTATATCCCCTCATAGAAGCTTGTAATAGCAACATAAAGTTTAAGAGATGCCTTGTATTGTTTAAAAATTTCCAGGACATGCATTTTGAAAAATGGGTTAACACTGTTTCAATTCATACTGAACTGAAGAAGTTCAATATTCCATGAAGTGACACATTTGCAGACCAGGATATCTTAAATCAAATCATAATAAATGACTTTGGAGCCTAAAGATTTCATACCTACCAAAATGGTGATATTAGAAGCACCATTTCAGGAAAAAATATAACTCAGGTACTCACTGCAATGAGTGACAGGCGCATTTTCTTGTCCATCCGTGGCATGAAGTCACAGACGGACATGACAAGCACAATAGAGAATTTTTTCCATAAATGAGAAAATGTGCTAAAAAATAGAATTTTTCTACTTTTGACCAAGTGCCCTAATTTATGGAAGGAATTTATGATCAAATGATTATGATTCCATCCTTTCTAGTTCACAGTCCAAAATAGTTCAATGGCAAAGTACAGGGTGTGTACCAATATTAAGAAAAAAAATTCAAGGACTTTTCCAGGACTCTCCATGATCATCAGTATAATTTTCCAGGAGTTGTATACGACAGGTTTAGCATGCCTGAAAGAGTAACCGTGCATATTATATCATCTCCTAAAGTTGATAACTAGCAAACGTGTAAATGCATAGAGCGGGCAGACAGAGGATCGAAAATGACACAAATCTGGAAATGCCCATCAAATTTCAGACATCAAAACATCTTTTGTTACAAAGCTGGTTAGTTCGGCATTGGGGTTGGCTTTGGCAGTGGCTACAGGCCTCCTCTCCATCTCTACATTCACAGTGGCAGTAGACACTACAGTGCTGATGCGTGTTGACTTTTTCGACGGACTATTTCCTGATACACTTTTGGAGCAAGAAACTGCAGTTGAATTGCTGTCAGCAGGCCACAAATCAGAAACGCGTAACTGCGCTTTGCTCTTCAGTTTTCACTTCACTGTGTTGCTAAGCTAACTTGTGTTTGCTGCTTTGGCGTGGCTTTTCAAAGCTGCTTCCCCCATATTTGACACATCGAAGTCTTTCAAGCACAATGTACATATCGCCATACCTTCATGCTTGGGCTGGCGAGCAAGCCAGTCACGATAAGCTTCTATTTTTAACAAGTCATGAAATTTATACTTTCCACGCATGGCGATGTAGAAATTGCATGCTTAAGATGGAACGCTGCCACTGCACATCAAATAGTTTCGCATGCAACTGAGTCCGCTGACCGAGCTAATGTGATTGGTTCTCCAATTGCATGACTGACGGTCACGTGATTGGAGAACCAATCAGAAGGCAGGAAGCAAGAGACTGTGGCAGTCTCTTGTTTCATGCGGGCCAATTAGAACGCAGGAAACAAGAGACTGCAGCAACAGTTTAACGCTAATCGAGTAGGGTTAGCAATGAAACGCCCTTAGTTTCTAACAACCACCATAAAAAATAACCACGAATCTCACAGCCTTGTCTGTCAAGATACTCTTCAACTGCTATCTATTCTTGGTGTTGGATCAATAATATTTTAGCTGGAATTTCAGGGAGGTACTTGAGCTTCCCGCTCCACTAATGCGTTTCATTTCATGCAGTTCTGTCAATGGCAGGCAACGAAGTCATAGACGATGAGATAAAAAACTATAGGAACAAAGAAACTTTGATAGAAACTAGAAATGAGGATGCAGGTGCACAAGTGCTGAAGCTGCACATGCACCAGCGATATTTCAGGCACACGCACACGTGAATGACTTACAGTCTCCTCCCCATGGGTAACATAGACAACTCACACAAGTTCAAGCGGTCAGAGTTGTACACGGAGATGGCTCTGCTTGAGGCCAGAAATTTGTTCCTTTCATTCGCATAATTTTTGAAAATGGATTCGAGTTCACAATTGTGCGTTTGATGACTGCATTTGATAGGAAACAATCTATATTAATGCCTGGTAAAATAATCGCAGCGTATGTAAAATAGAAGACAAATAATACTTAACAAAATTAAGGGCAGATATCATTTGAACTCGAGGTTGTAGCATGACACGACAACCCGTGGCGATTAGGGTTAACACACGCAGCACAGAAAAAAAATTCCTTCTCTCATTCATTTGCAAATTCCAGTATTTTCCATAATCTGAAATGAAATTCCAGTACTTTCCAGGCCTGGAAAATGAAAAAAATCAAATTCCAGGACTTTCCAGATTTTCCAGGATTGGTACGCACCCTGAAAGTAGGTATGAAATATAATTACTTACAGAGCCGCAACTATAAAATACCAAACATTTCTTGAGCCATTAAATTTTCACTACACAAATTACCTTCAAACTGGCAAATAGGGCAGCAACCATCCAGTAATGAGACAAATAGCCCAAGCTTGTGGTCAATTTCACTTGTTTCTATGACCCTTGCAGCCTTGCCTAATATCTTTAATGAAAGTTAAGAACACTTCTTTTTAATAGAGTACCGTAAAATGGGGTAACTTTGACCACTTTTTTATTTTGAAACAATGCCATTTTTTTACTAGACAAGTTAAACTTAAATTGAAATGTGCAAAATACAGGTCTATACTCTAGCTTTACTCACCATAAATTGCTGGCTCCTGCCTCTCATAGTTTTGATGTAATTTAAAAAAAAGTGATGGTCTTTGTTACCCCAGCTCTTGGGGTTTCTTTGACCGGGTGGTAAAATCAATTTTATTTTTGGTAAAATAACTCCAAATTTAACTTAATTTCCAAGCCGGTCAATGTTACCCCGTCACGGCTGCCATCAGGTGGTCATAGTTCTCCCATTGGGGGGTGGCACCCCCCATTTGCAAACTATGACACTTTCCTAAAATTTGCCTTTTGCATATGTAACTAGAAGAGTTCTACTACAATGCATCAAAACCTGGAGATATTTTACCAAAAAATAAAAAAAATTGGAGGGGGTACTCCGACAGGCTTTAAATAATAGCTCTTTTACGTGGGTCACATTATTAATTTTTTAACCTATTAGATATTCAAACTTTTTAAATCTTTCTATTGTGTTGCGTAGCCTCAGTATTAGGCCTTTGATGGCCATTGGCAAAAATTCTCTATGTCAAATCGTTTTTGAGTTTTAGTGGTTTTTGTTAAAAAAACGAATAGTGGTCAAAGTTACCCCACCGGTCAAAGTAACCCCATTTTACGGTACATGCTCCAGTAAATGTTCTGCCAAAATATGGTTTTTATGCCTAAAAGATTGATGGCAATATACCGGATGTGTCACTGCATGCATTTCTGGCTTGTAGCTGTAGAAATCAAAGCAATTATAATGCACGTACAGCGGTGCTGATTATTAGGCATCAGCTAGATGCATCCAGAACAATCGGTTCTGCAAGCAGTTTAGCGTGACATTTATTACCAAATTATAATTTATTTAACAAGTATATATGACAATAGATACTTTGAAATATCTGAATGTTAACAGCATTAAAATTAATGCAAAACACAAATATTAAATATTTTTTTAGGCATTTATTAATTTAAAACCTGACTTCAATAGTATTTTCATTCTAAATATTTCTCAAACTTCTTGTTATGTTATAGGTAGGTGTAACTGTTGTTGTTGTTGGCTGGAGCTGTCTTTTGTTTATTTAGTATGCAGTTGTGTTTCGTAAGAGGTGGTGCTAGTATGCTCTGTGCTGTGGACCAGTCTGTAAAGGAGCAGGATCAGTCTAAAATCTCCGAATACCAGCTTCTATATTAACTATAGAATTGCACCACTGGAATTGGGAATGATCGTCTGAAGAAAAAAGTTTTGCTGCTGATAAGTTAGCAAAGATCTTTAGATATTTGCACACTTTTTGCTTTCTGGTCCAATGGTTTTAAAACTAAACATTATTACATTAGAGCTATAAATATGAACAAATTCTATTTGCTAAACTTCTAACTTGTAACATTGGGAAAAAAATTTCTGGAATTGCAGATTAAGGTGGGCATTTTTTTTTTTGAATGAATTGGGAATGGCCAGAGGAACAAGTAAAATTAGCCAGATTCACAAGCAAAGCATTTCTGCTTAATTCATGTCTCATCAGGCATTGAAAATATCTTATTTGGCGAGCCACCGTCAGCCACGCCCCGCGCAACTGAATATTTTGAGCTGTGGTTTTATGGATTTGCCAGCTATGATTCCATTTCTTCAAGCCGTGAATTCCATATCTTGGCCATGAAAAGCCATTTACAAGCCGCAAACTTATTTACAAAGTCCATGCACCGAGGATGTGTTAACCCAAATCTCTAATTTTACCCTAAAAACAGGCAAACAGCAAAACTAACATTTGTCTTCACTTAGTGGCCACAGCTATGTGATTGTCAAGCCTTACAGTCAAGGAAATATTTTGGGTTGACTTGTTGTTATTACATTCTGCAGGATATTTTGGAGGGAGTGTTGGAGTACTGCAGATTGCGCCATCATAGCGGAAGTTGGAAATATATGAAACAAAATGTTTGCAAAGAAAAAAAACTCATTTTTTTCAATCAAAAAAAATACATGGCAATAGAGCTACAAGATTTCACATGTACTGAAGTTATATGATATTAGAGCTGCAATCTTTCAGATAAAAGTCAAACTTTTCCAGCCCTGTAGTCTCATGGGTGCTGGGTAGCTTCCATCCAACTTTCCTTTTTGGTTATATCTTGAGTTGTTTGGGGGGTTACCCTTTCTCCCCTTTACCAAATTAGGGTAAACAAGGTATATTCCGACACTTTAACACGTTGACTACGTTAGCCGATTTGGCGGTTTCGCCTCACAGACGTTGCCAAATGTCGCTAATAACAATAGTCACGCGGTAGCTACCGCAGCGAGAGGAGGTGAGTAGCTCTACGTATGTAACGATGAACATATAGATACATTTAAAAACGTGGTACAAATACGGTGCAACTTAACCTATTATTTCTTAACTCGTTTTACATTACCTTGACTGTTTTCTATGTTGTAGAGAATGTAATGGGAATCAACAATGATAAGAAATGGTTAAAAATATAATTTATAAAAAATTAGTAAAATATTGGAGTTGGGCCATATAAATACCAACACGTACATGAACAATGTACCACGTGGTACATATATGTACCAATACGTAGTCAACGTGTCAAGGATGTAGCAAAAAATGAATGACTATAATAAATACACCATACGTGCAACTTGAGTTCTGTTTGCTTTACGTCACTCAAAACACCGCACTACAAGCCAGCAACAATGAAATGTCACAAAATGTTGCCATATTTATTTAAAAGCCTTTAGAATGCAAACCTACCAAATCCATATATTCCAACACTGTGTGTGACTAAATTTGGCATTTTGTGAGACTAATTCTGGCCGCGCTTCAAACTCTACTAATTCGTAGTGCCAACACTCTTGTGTTCGAATTCCGATCGCTGTGTGAGCTGTATTGGAATACGACAATCCTTGGAATTAGAACACTATTGAATATTGAACACTATTTAATTAGGCTTTTAATAAGGAGCTATTAAGCTTTCAATTAGGAAAATTTTAATTTTTGGTAGAGCAAGGTCAACTATCAACTTTGACACATTTTTCGATGTTCTCACTGGGTGACGCACACTGTCTCTCTTTGGATCTCAAGATTTTCCCACCAGATGGCCCAGACCTAGTGTGTTGGCAATAGTATGGTGCGCAAAAGTATGATGTCACTATTTAAACCATCAACAAATGCATGGAACTAAGAAAAAGCTTAATATAAAGGAAAAAAGTCTAGAAGTGCCGGAATTACCCACATACCGCGTTTACCCCACGGGAGACCCCTATATTTAGAGCTGAGACAACTGCCAACTGCTATCCTATCTGGTCTTATTTTTTTCATTCTTAATATTAGACATAACTGTCATCAGAAATTCCCAACATTGTCTCTACAATCTACATACTTTTTACACAATGCGCGAGTCTCTTGAAGGTATTCATATTTTATTAATGTTTGTTGTTAGTCTATACAATTAACCTTCAAAGTGGCAAAAAATGAGAACTGATAATTTAAAAAGAAGTGCAGTGCCTGTATATTTGTTTTCATTGGGTTTGCACCGCACAAACCCATTTCTCCAGCCGGGAGGATGTCGGGAACGTAACATATTCCTGACATTGACATTTGGGTTTGTACTATTTGCCAAAGTCAGTCCTTCGTTAGAAGGAACGAATCTCAAGCCATGTAGATTGTTGCCTTCCACTATTCAAGTTTTCTAATTAATTTCCAACCAATGATGAATAATTATTCATAACATTGCCGACTCTTAGAACCTGAGTTAACACATGAGAAATCTAGTTAATGTGATGCAGATATTTGTTTGTGTGTGATAGCATTGCCACGCATTCATCTTTAAACAACTTTAGGAGCATGGCGCAGGCTGGCGCACGGTGCACTTTTTACCCGCATACTACGGCACACGGCACAAATTGATGCAATGATAATATAAATTCCCGTGCACCTGGCACATCTTCCTGAGTCCTGACCGTGGCGGACTTGGCACCAGTTGGCGGCAGCGGTATATCTTATTGATCATACCTAGTGACAAACCACGGATTTTTTAGAATTATTTCATTTTTAATTTCCTCCTTTACTTACAATTTAAACCAATTTCTTATGTATGATAATGCAGGTATCAAGGATAGGTAGGTACCTACTTTATTGGACCATAAGTAGACCAGTAAAGTATCCTGGAAACCAGCATCATCATACATAAGAAATTGGTTTAAATCTTGGGTAAACGAGGAAATTAAAAATGAACTTAATCTAAGAAATCTCTAGTTTGTCACTATGCTTGATAATCATTGAGAGGTGAGATTGTGAGAAACAGGAAATTTACAAGGCTTCATTAAAAAAATGATAAGCATTAGTTTGCAGCAATAATATTTTTCATTAGGTTTGTGAGTCCAAATTATCAATAACAGAAAATTCTAAGATTTTTACCTTTTGACTGATACATAAGTCTACAATAGTCAAATAGGTAGCCTAGTAGTTCCCGATCTTCAAATAATAGGTACCTACCTACTTTTAACTTTAGATTAGCTAGCCTTATACCTAGTACCTACCTAGTTGAGTAGGTAGGCCTAAGTTGACTAGCTATAAGAATTCAATTAATCATGCAAGAATTCAATTTGATATTTTAACACAGTGTAACTCAAGAATTGAATTCCAGAAAGAGAAATTCCTTTCACGTTTCACCCTCACTTTATCACTCAACACCCGTCACCCAGGCTTCAGTGACACATAGGTACAGTCTTTACTCTTTAGCTGAGTCTTACAGATACAGCAATAGGCTAGGTAGTTAATTTTAGGTCATCTGATGGCCGGTGTAAAGGAATCATTGGAAATATGTCTACTTTACATTTTGTGTGAATAGTGACGGGCAAGTGGGTGGTGTACTCGTCACTCGTGGTAGCCCTCTAGCCTCTAGGCTCTACGTCAACACATCTTACTTTATTTGAAACGGTCAACCAATACTTTCAATGACGATGTCGTGATTGAAACCGCTCCAAGTAGGTATTTGAAATTGTATATTGGCAGTACCAATTACAAGTGATTCACAAAAGTTTTACAAATTACCATTATAAATCCTTCAACAAAAACCAACAGTCATAGTAATTAAGCGGTTTAAATTATTAAAATACTTACATATAAGTAAACAAAATCGCACCGAAACTCGGACTCAACCTACTCAAGAACAACAACAGATGTTGCCAGAAGTTAGAGCAGGGTAAAAATTGAAGAAGTTGAGTATCCAGAATTGAAGTGAAAATTGATAATATATAATAGCAAGCGTTATACCACTAGCGTTATTAAAATAACAAACATTTTCTACGACTTACTAAATCCAATTCTGCCATTAGATTTCTGTCGCAAAATTATCGAAATGAAAAAATTATGAAGATGACTGATATTATTGAGTATCATAATAGGTCTTTGTACCAAGTATATAAATAATATTGATTTGATTGAAGACCAGAGCGTACTTTTTATTAACAATTTTCTTATTGTTTTTTTTTTCAATAAGCCGAACGAAATTTCTAGCAGGTGCTTGGAGATCAAAAAGCAAGCATGCTAGAATTTTCGTTCGGCTTATTGAAAAAAAAAAACAATAAGAAAATTGTTAATAAAAAGTACGCTCTGGTCCTCAATCAAACCTGTATAAATGAAGAACTTCTGCCTAACTACACAAATAATATTGAGTATATTAATAGGTCTTTAATGCGTATTAAAAAAAGATGTCTTTGTAAAGAATGAAGGGAATTAAAAAAATTTTCACAGAAAATTTACATATCGTTGCTATTTGTAGAAACATTTACTTTATAATTGCGATATTTAAAAAAAAGTAGGACTTATAAGTAGTCAATTAGTGGAAATCTTCAATCGGTCAATGATTGGAATCAATGAGACATTGCACGCTGTTAGGTACGTGAAGTGTGGATGCTGTAATGGGGTTTTTCTATTAATTATAATTTTTGTTTACTTATTCCGTAGTTCGTGATTTTCATCCAATTTTTACTGACTGAAAGTTGGTGAATTTGAGGACTTTCGAATCCCATTTTTAACAGTAGATGGCCTCAGATTATTTTTTGACGGCCACTAATTGTATATTAGATATTTATAGCAGAAGAAATGTCTAGGAGAAGGGATATAATAAAGAAATGGCGTACTGTGATATTAAAAAAATTCAAATTTCAGCTTGCATGACCGCGCTCAGATTAGAAATCGCATTCGTCCTATAATTAACTTGCAAACTCTATATTGTTCGAGGAGAGTTGTACGTGGTTCTAATAGTGATAGGTCCTTGTAGGGTATCTATTGTTATGACCAGCATATCGGAATGAAAGTTATGGTGTAACTCGTATGGAATATGGCTCTTGATAGGGATGGCAACACCGGCGTTTTTGGTATTGTCTTTATCGGTTGTGTGTGAATGACAGTTGAAGATTTTTGGGGGAGTGTTGTTAGTGAAGGAGTGGTCGTTCAGCAGGATGATATCAGGGTCGATCTTGATTTAGATGTTGCATGGCGAGCGTGAACTTTTTGTTGGCGCAAGTTTGGCGTTTGCAAGGTGTGTTGGATAATTTTTATTGAACGCTGTGCTGTCATGTTGGAAAAGGGTGTTTTGTAGTGGACGCCTTTGTTTTCTTGAAGATTGGTGTCGAGGTGGTAGTGTGGCGGCTCATGGCGTCGAAAGCGTCGTGGGGGATTATGTTAATGTGAGGTCTTTCGGTGTTGTCTTCTTGTGATTGGTTCTTTTCGTGGTTGTAAAAAAGTTAAAAGTGCCAGAATCTCGGTCGGGGGAAGTAGCGTCGATGTCGCTACTTGCTTTTAAAGATTTGGAGAATATTAAAAAAAAGCGGTTTCAGCAGTTATTAGGCCGTAGGCCTGTCGCCGATTCTTAACATAGCAGAACATTCACAGCATTTTGCGGTCTCGAACTCGCAACTCACTGCTACAATTCTGCTGTGCTTAACCGCCCGGCCTCCTCGCCGATTCTGACCAGAAACTGGCGCACAGAGCTGGGATCG